GAAGTTTAAAAAAACTTTTTTTTTGTTTGGGTAAAATAAAAATCTAACCAAGTTCGCGGAATCAATCACAGAATAATATTTTGATTTATTTATTTAATGGAACGAAAAAATATTTACCTCGTTTCATCCGTTTTCTCGCCTTTTCTCTTGGTCACAAACTTAAGAGCCTTCCTCCATTTCTTACGTTTGAGTTTATGTTTATCCATTTTCGCCAATTTCCTAAAATTGTCACCAAAGGTTCCAGTTAGGTCCTCCACCGTTTCAACAGGGACCTTGAAGAACAAAGGAAACACCTCCAATGTCCCTTTCTCCACACATTCTTTGATCTTTGCCAGTTCATCTAAGCACCAACTCGATTCCGTGTACAAACTTGAGATGACCGCTATCGCAATCCTCGACTTCTCGATCGTCTCTAAAAATATGCCCAAATCTTTTCCCATCCCCAAATCATTGTCTATGAAAACATTGATATCTTCTCTTTTCAGTGCAGTCTCTAGATGACTTATGAACTTGCCTCGAAGCTCGTCTCCTCTGAAATTTAAGAAGACTTGGTGCTGCGGCGGCCGGTTGGCTATATTGGAGGGAATTGCCTTCGACATCAGAGTATTTTCTGGAGGATTGTTTTAACAATTTCAATTAGACAGCCTTTTTGGAAATGTATAGAGAGTGGGAAGTTTTTTTTTTGTCTGAATAAATAGTGCCAAAAGGAGACATTAGTATATAACCACAGATAGTTTGATTATAAAAAGGCATGTGAACATATAGGCATGACGCTATATCTGCATCGGTCATTAAATCAGCATCAACTTTAATGAGTCTAAATATCATAAAATTTTATTTCTTTAGTAAAAAAATCGATTGTGTGATATGACTATGAGTCTATGAGTCGAGTTTTTTTGTTTGACTTTTTGTCTGTTTGTAAATTGTATACCTAAACCTTGGTCGCCGGAAAAGCTTAATGAGGGATGTGCAATATCTCAAGTTCTTTTATTTTTTTGGTATTATATTATCCGTTCCGCTCTGTTCGAATAATTATTTTTCCAATTTATATACGTTCCACAAAAAATAGATATTCGATATTTGAAAATTAAATCTACTTCATAAAATTTATAAACAATTACATGTTATGTGTAGCTGGGGTGCTCGGCTCTCATAGAAGGGGTTGAGTATCAAATTGTCATTTTATACATGCCAGAACCTATAATTAGATTTTCAAAAAGATTGCCGCCAATTTATGGTTTACTTTTGGGGATGATTTACGTTCGCAATGTGTTTACGATGTGAGGTGAATAGTATGTACAGAAATTCAAAG